CGGACATGTGGTCAAACAATAGGTTCCCCCACTCTCCCTCCCCACCACAGCGTAATTCCCGGAACTTATGGGTCCCCCCTCGTATTGTTATATGTATACAAAAAATATCAATTAAAAATTTATCAAATAACATTGTTTTTGTGTATCCATGAATTGTGCGATCCATCGAATCCCAGCCACTTGACGTACACTTTGTCGCCCTTCCTGCGCAACACTTTCTCCACGAGATACACGTCCGGATGAGTAGCGCGATGCAACTCGTGCTCGTAAAACGCTCCAGCGACGGATTTTCCACGATAGTCCTCGAGTAAATAAATTACGGGATTGGCACGCTGCACCTTAACAATCGTAAATACCTCGGTGGTTCAATTTGGTGTGTAACCCTTCTCAAAAATCGTCTTGTACTTGCTCACGCATACTGAATCAACTACTTTGAATTTTGCAGGATCTGCTATCTTTATCGCACTGTACACTGTGCCCAAGAGTTTTTCGGCGATCGCAGAAGTTACGTCAGAGGGTCGCATGCCGATGGTGCGATGCTTGCGCGCGTTGTAATCTGACCAGACGCGGCAGCTCGTCGACCCACTTGTAATTGCCGTTGAGTGTAAACATCTTCCACATGTCGTTTTTGAGCGTGCGATTGAACCGCTCGACCACTGACGCTTTCAACGTCGAAGACGTGGAATAGTGATTAACGTTGTGTTTTTTCAAGATATTCTGTACATCTGCATTGTAAAATTCTTTCCCCATATCCGTTCGTAAATTTTTCGGACATCTTTCGCTCTCTCGAACTATCTCAGCGATAGCGTTCGCCGTCTCGCTTCCACCCTTGCTCTTGAGCGGAACGGCCCACGCGTACTTGCTCAACACATCGATGACGGTGAGTATGTAGTGGTAGCCTCTGTTGAAATTCGAGTACGGGCGCATCTCAACGATATCAGCCTGCCGCAGATCGTCGTACTCCCGGACTATGACACGCCTTCGCGGAAAATTTCTTCTCGCCGAAGCGTGCAATTCCTCGACGAGCCGACGTTTCTCGGAGCTAATATTTTCTCTCTTTTCATCGGATTTCTTTTTCATGATTCCACGTGTAATACACAGAGTATAAGAAATTAATGTATTTTTCTTGCTCGTGTCACTCGACTGATTCGTTTTATGAATACGTGATTTAATTTATAATAAGACCGGCTTCGCGAAGTTCCTCGATAATCGACAGCATCTCGTTGTCGTGAGCGTTGTTGCCTGCTCGGTGCGAAGCGTCGAGCAATCGTAGACGATCCACCAGCTCGTTGGGATCATCCCAGTGCACGTAATCGATCGCGTTGTCGTTCAATGTCATTGCGTGAGGTAATCCCTTTCTAGATTTTTTTTCTGTTTCTTGGGTGTGACCGACATCAACGGCGCGATTACGTGTTTGTACTTGTATCCCCTGTTGCTCAATAATCGACCCTGTGAATGGTACTTGTGTTTGTGCGCGTTCGTCACCAACAGCATGCTCTTGTACTTGTGCATATCGTCTTCCGTGTAGATAGTATCGTCGGAAATTCTCTTGAAAATCAAGTCGTAAAGACCTGGTGTACCGGCGTATCGTACGCCGTCGATAATTATGTTGTCCGCGTCATCCACGTCGAAACGTTTCTTGCCAAACATCAGCCCATCCTTGTGTAGGTAAACGCTGTACACGCGATCTATACCGCTCTCTTTATCTCGCGCTTCCCTCAGGACAGCTTCGACGTACTTTTGACCCAGCGGGCCCAAACCAGCTCGTAACGCTTCTCGACCTTCCGACGTTTGCAGCTGATTTTGAACCTTCGTCGCTAGCGAATCTTCCGTCGTTTCGAAAACGTTCTCCAACGACTCTATCGTTGGTAAGATTTTGGCACGCGGGATGGAGGTTATTGGTTGTATCATCGTGCGATTGATTATTGGCTTTATGCAGAGTCGTGGAACGCTCGAACGTCTCGCTCGCTTCTTCTCTCTCCTCTTGTTCCTCTTCCTCCTTCCTCTCGCGTTTATGGGCAGACGCTGCATCTTCGTCGCGCGACTCTCTCTTTGTTGCGCGCACGTCGGGGCTGTCGACGAAAAGTCGCAGAGGCTCGATAAGAGGCTTAAAACGTCTGTTCAACTCGATGTCCCCCTCGATTCTATCGGTCTTCAGAGCGCGATGTTTCTTGCGGATCGATTCGCTCGTCTTCTCGATCGCTCTCACGATTTTTTCACGCTCGCGCACATCTGCCATGTTCGTCTGTGACTAAGTATCGACAACGACTGGTCGCGTTACGGTATCGCGAACTCGTGAAATCCTTTTCTGTATCGTCCATTTGTGAGCGCACTGTCTTTGTCTATCACAACGAATCCATATTTCTGTTCCCAACAGGCGTAGCACAACGCGCAAAATTCGTTGAACGACATGTCTGTATTTACATGATCGTTGTAAACGTGTTTCAAGTTGGTACCGTCCTGTTTGAATAAGATCAGAAGGTTTGCGTTATCGCGTATCAGATGTTTAGGTATCCTCGGGTACGTCTGACAGAGATAGAAGCAGTCAATGTTCGCGTGGCAACCCATCGAAAAGTATTCACTCACCGCATCCTGCTTGTCGCAAGCCACGTCATCAAGGATAAAAATAAAATTTGGACAAGCCTCGCTCGGTGGAACGACGTCATGGTCGTTGAAGAACGTAAAGTAGATTTCGTCGATAGATGTAAACACATTTTCGAGATGTTGATACTTTGACTGTTGCAACGATATCGAATAGATGTACACGTTCTCGAAATGAACGCCGTTCGGACTCTCGAGTAAGCTTATGAGAACGTTGGTTTTACCGCAATTTGTCGGACCGCAAATGATCGTGTATAATACTTGGCAGCATTTCGCCGTGCTTGCGCTTCTCCGCGCTACCTCCCATCATTCGCGATTTTGCGTCACAGTTCGTGACGCATATCATCAGCGGTTGCAGCACGAATTTTATGTTCACACTACAGGCTGTGCGCTCTCGAACGACTATTTAAATACGTGTGCTCTCGAACGACTATTTAAAGACGTGCAAATCCCGCGAATCGCGCAGTAGCAAAATGTATCTTGCGCTGAGTCATCCTTCCGATATTCGAAACTTGAGCGCCGAGCAATTACAATATACGAGGTCTGGCTATTAAATAACGAGATTGCGCGCGCAGAAGGCGTCCTAGAGGGATAGGGTGGGAAACGAATGCAGCGTTGGATAGCTGGAAGTGTCTACTATTCCAGTACGAAAACACGTTTTTGTCGCAGTAGTAGTATTTTTTCTATAGAGGTTAGAAATGAACTTGTTTTTTTCTCGTGCCGATAATAATGTGTGACGAAAAACACGAGCAACGGATCAATGTGAAATTTCTCGTTAAATTAAAAAAACTCCGACTGAGTGCTATAAGTTGTTGAAAGAGGCCTATGGTGAGAATTCTCTATCTCGTGCGCGTGTTTTCGAATGGTATAAACGGCTTTCTGAAGGCCGAGAGAGCACCGAAGATGACCAACGTCCAGGTCAACCTGTCTCTGTTTCAACTCCGCAAACAGTGACCAAAATCAATGAGATGACTGAATGGGTTCCAGAGGGTCAAACTGTAAACCAAACTTACTATTTGACAGTTTTGGCAACACTGCGAGAGCGAGTTCGTAAGAAACGGCCGGAGTTGTGGAAAAACAAGTCGTAGATCTTACACCAGGTCAACGCACTTGCCCATAACGCGCTGTCTGTGAAGCGTTATTTAGCTGCTAGAGGCACTTCAGTGCTCGAACACGCGCCGTACTCGCCTGATTTAGCACCCTGTGACTTTTTCCTGTTTCCGAAGATCAAGTCTGCCTTGAAAGGAACCCGGTTCGAGTCGATGGAAAAGGTGAAGCGAAAATCGGCGGAGCTCCTAAATGCTCTTACAAAAGAAGACTTCCAGCATTGCTTTGATCAATGGAAAAAACGAATGGAACGGTGTGTGGCGAGGGGAGGGAAGTACATTGAAGGGGAGCATTCAATTGTAGAATAATTTTTAAAATAAAACTCTTTTTCATAAGCAGTCTCGTTATTTAATAGCCAGACCTCGTATACCGAAGGTCGTACTCTTACACGTGTACGGCGATTACATCGAACACGTCTGGGACCAGCTTCCGGAACACGTGAATACAGATTCGGAGGTTCGAACCTATCGTCGGTGCGACGAACACTATAATCAGCCGTGGCAGCAAACGCACATCGACGGTCCCGCACCTAAGTTAAAGGACTGTAACGAATGTCAGCGCCGGGCGATAGTCTGTTGAATCAAGCTGTAAACACGCTTCCTTTCGAGTTACATATTCCGGGCTACCA